TTTTGGCTTATTCAAATCCCTAATAATATTTTTTAGCCTTTACAATACTTCTACCTTATTTCAGAACTATATCAATTATATTCTTTTTAATCTCCTAAATAAGAATTATACAATATACCTAAATAATATTTTGATTTACTCTGAGAATGTTATAAATTATTGAAAACAAGTTCGCGAAGTTATTCAAAGATTTATTAATACTGAATTACAAATTGATATTGACAAATACGAATTCGAAATGAGGAGAATGAAGTATCTCGGCCTAATCATTACTCCTAGTGATATCGAGATGAACCCTAACAAGATTAAGACTATCCTCAAATAGAAATTGTTAACTAAGCTAAAAGACCTTTAACACTTTTTAGAGTTTACCAACTTCTATCAATACTTTATTCATAACTTTTCTAAAATTATGGAATCTTTAAATTGTTTATTGAAAAAAGAGAATATATAAAATTAAACTATTAATTAAAAGAATACTTTTGAAAACCTAAAGTATACCTTTACCTCCATTTCAATCCTTACAATATTTGATTACTACCGCCATATAGTTATCGAGACAGATACTTTCAACTAGGCTGCGGGCGAAGTACTCTCTCAATATAACGATAAAGGCTGACTATATCTGATTGTATATTTCTCCTCAAAACACAATACTACCAAATACAATTACAAGATTTATAATAAGAAACTACTAACTATCATCAAATCCTTAAAAGAATGGAGACCTAAACTATATAGAATTCAAAAGCTGTTCAAAATCATTACTAATTATAAGAATCTAGAATACTTCATATCAATAAAGATATTGAATCAAAAACAAATTAAATAAACTGAATTCCTGACTAGTTTCAATTTTTATATTATATATAAACCAGGTCTTAAAATAATTCGTTTCGATATATTAAATAAAAAAACAAAAGATTGCCTTATACACACTAACCCTAATAATAATCAAATCAAAAATCATTTACAAACAGTCCTTCCAAAAAGAATATTCGATATCACTATATTCAAAAATCTTATTCAACAAACAAATAACAATATTGATCTCATCGTGGCGCTTATAGGTATGATTATCCCTGATATTGAGAAGCTGATCGATAATCTTATTAATAAAGTATACGAATTATTCGAATTGGTTATTATTATATATAAAACACTTCAAAACCCAATTACTTATTATTAGCTGCTATCAATCCGAAAAGACCTTTAAATCATTCTTTAAGATTGTAGATTAATTAATAATAAAATTTTCTATTACAACCATCTTTTTGTTTCCCCTTTTACTGAACTTTACATTTAGATTATATATTGAATACATTCTATTAGTCCAGCAGAACATTCTGGTTGAATTAAAACTATTGATTTTGTCTTCTGTATATACTAATAGCTTAATATATCAAGAGAAATCGAAACTTATATATAAGCCTATCAACTCTATTTCCAAACCAAAGCCTCCCGTTTTGCCACATCCGGATTCCTAGAATCCCTACTAGTATTATTCTGTCTCTAATCTGATATCTTCATTGATTATATTATATCATTATCAATCAGTAAACGCTATAGCAAAAAACATCAATATATTGTTATAATTGTTTACCGCCTAACGAAAATACATTATTTCATTCTGGTTATAGGACTATCCGCAGAAAAGCTTGCTGATTGGTTTGTTGAAAAAGTCTATTGTCTATACAATACATTTGATAATATAATATCCAATAAAGGTTTATAATTTATATTAGAATTCTGAAAGCATTTATTCAAATATCTATCGATCACTTTGAAATGATTTTCCTTATTCCACTCTGAGTCTAATGGATAAACAAAGAGGATTAATGTTATAATAGAATAATATCTTCGGGCTTTTATGAATTTCTATCAAAATGATTGATATGATTGGCTCCTACTTATGGAGTTTATATTTAATAATATTACCTTAGAGATTATCGATATATTCTTATTCTTCACTAACTATAGTTTTCACTTATACCTCGGCGTTAAGCCCTTTTCATCTGTTTTCCCAAATTTATTATATCAATGCAAATACGAGTTTCTAAAGACTAACGAGATTGCAGATTAATTTGATATTATTCTAATAAAATTGAAAGCTTTAGCTGCTTAATCCATTCAGAGATATAAAGATTATACTAATAAGATTTGTATTAATATCTTTCTATATAAAGAAGATAACAAAGTATAGATTAATATTAAGAATATAAAAACCAATCGCTCAATAAAAAAAGATAATGATAAATGAAATAGCTTCTATAAGATTCTAAAAGTTTATAAACGAATCTGTTTATTTCAATTTCTCATTAGTTTTAAGATTTTTCCAATATTCTATAATTCATTATTTCGATTACTCTACCACTCATTTGGATTAGCTAATCAAAAAGCAATCAATAAAGCCAAATCCCATTAAAACCAAAACTATATTCTAAAAAGAGATAATGAAACGAATAAGGAAATTGAATAATGGGAATTCGATAAACTATTTGATTATTATAACAAGGACGGATTTTATTATTAAATTAAATGGAAATATCATTCAGTATCTTGGTAATCTGTTAAAAATCTTTATAGCTAGAAAGATACGATTATCACTTTCCATTTAGCAAATCTAAATAAGCTAGAATTGTTTGTTTGGATAGGCTTCAAAAGATCTATTACTTCTAATCCCCTACTAGTATTTACATCAAGCATACTCCCGAATCGAGGCTAAAGTAGATCTAAAAAGCTTTAGCAATTGATTATTACTTTTAAAAAAGTTCATTTTAATTCAATAATAGAAATTAGAGTATTTTAGTATTATTTTGTTTTCTAAAAGGTTAATTAGTATTACAATCATGAACCGATCGCCTTGAGTGGGGGGTATTGTTATAGCGCCAACTATATAATCTATAATTACCTTTATATTTCAGGCACAGTATACTAGCGCGCCCTATTTCCTATAAGTAGGGCTTCACTCTTCCATAGCTTTTCTACCCTTATGGTACAATATAAGTCTTTACCCGTATCTTGACAGTAGTAGGGTTGAATATGTTTATAAGCTAATATAGGCTAAAAGCATTCGATGATCATTTATTACTTGAGACTCTAAAATAGGCTTTATCCTTTTCTTTTACATCCTAAACCCATATATTTTGTAGATCCTTTGAGTCTCCTTTATAAATAAAAACGGAAAAGAGAGCTATCCCATCAGTACATATAGCTGCTAATAGGGTAATAAACTCTCTTAATCCATCTTGCTTAGCTTTTGTCACTCTGCTTTTATTATAGGCGCTAGCACTTATTATCCTCTTTATAATCCTCCTTATATTGATTATAAAGCCCTTCTCATTTCAATTGTATATATCTCTTGACTATATATTGTATTTTATAATTACTTTTATTAATTAAATTAAAAAAAGAGGGGTATTAATAAAAGTATTTTAAGTAATAAAAATCAATAACAATAGAAAATAGCTCAAATCAGATTATAAAAGTAATCAAATATAGTAATATTATTAATTTTTATATATAAATTATTAATGTAATGAAGATATCAACTTTTAAAATGTGTTGAATGCTTTTTGATAAAATTGTTAGTCTAATTCTTTCCTATCTCTTTGTCTAGGATTTTTTCTGTAAGGTTTCTGATTATATAGCTTATAGAAGGGATAGATCTTTATATCAGCTTGTTGATTTGATCAACTAAAATCTTCTTCTGATTGTTAGAAAGTGTTTGTTTCGTATCGGAAAGGAATTGTTTTTTCGAGGTGGTTTTATTTCTATGTTATCGGGAGAGTGTGGATCAATCAATTTTAAAGAAATTAGTTGTTTAGATATATTTAGGAGCTTGAATCCTTTTCAAATGATCTAATACAAGTTTTATACAAGCCTTTAAAGGTATATCATTGATGTTTGAAGTTATAATGTTGATATTTTCAAAGTCGTGCACGTAGTAGGGACGTGCACATAGTGGGGAAATCGGTTAACGTTCACCGCCATGTGGCAGTAAATTCAGCCTTCTCAGTTGAGTTCATCGATCTGTTTGACAAATGTTATATACCACAAAATATCGATACAAGTACCAAATTCGCTTGTGGATTATAAAATGTCTGGAATTCTTCTAGTTTCTGATAGGAACAGTTTTCACCACTGTCTTATGATTGAGCTTTAACCTAATATATGCAAACATACGTCATGGCTTGCATCATAAGACTTCTTCTTCGGTGAGTATAGGGCAGCTCCTCGCGCATTCTGTGGACCAGTCATCCCGAGGAATAATGCCGGGAACTTCGATTATAAAGCAAGCCATTAACCACATCAGCTGAGGTCGACTGATGGCGATACATCCGTTATTGTTGCTCGAATGAACATTGTCGTCGAGGAATTTGGTGTATTGCAATCAATATCATGATTAGCAAGATAAAGCACATGCAAGGTGATCGGTGAGAACAGAAATGTCAGCACTAATTCGAATGGACACGGCAATCGCCATACACCATTAATATTCTGGTCGGAACAAAATTTTCAGCAGCGCCGCGTGAACTCACGGAGCTGAGAGGAGGATACATGCTCTCCTAAGAATTCTAATAACTGGTTCTACGAGGAGTCACTTCGACGAATATAGCAGGTGTCATCAATAAGTTACTGCCGGCAGTAAGAGTAAATTCTCTCAGCTGGGTTTATTAAGACATAGGGCCGCTAGTGTCTCCAGTTTTTGAGATTATAATGACGTAAATAGATACAGCTCTTCCCGAGATATTCTTCTCTTCAGATCTCGGTAATTTTGTAAGCGATCTTTCGTTGTGTGTGTAAACTTGAAGCATGGATAAATTCTTTGATCGACTGTATACCACCACGTGAGAGCTACATCCGTACCAGTTTTTTTTTATTTGCATGGAGGTTGAATATTACTCCTTGGTTGACGCAACTCTTTGGGCTCGATTTGATCCTTCTAGAAAGTTTATCACATTGTTCGGTCTATAATGAGCCATTGTTAAAACTCTTAAATTGTGCAAGAAACTAGCTATGTAATCAGTATGTACCATTCAGCTAAACCTCTTCAACGTTCATAAGTCCATGCACCCACCGTCGCCATATCAGAGCGAGACGATCGTAGAAGATTTTCGCTGACATTGATCAGGTCCCTTTCTCCACTGATATTGTCCACGTTATACATATCTATCAATTTAACCGAATCAAGCCATTCTATTTCCATTTTCCATTGCAAAAACCGCATGCAAGAAGCTTTGTCTTAAACTTTAAAACGATTTTCCTCCTCATTTCCCTCGGATTTATCTGCAAACCAAACCAAACAGTACTTCTCCAGATTTGATATCTAGAGAACCTCAATAGCCGAATTCTCTCCAGACAAGTGTATGGAGAGGGTAGTACTCCGTAGTTGGTAATAGCAAGGCTTCTGACGCGGCAATACTTTGTTCTCAGGCCTGCTCGTGTACCCCGGAATAGCATTACACGTTGAGAAGGTTCTCAATAAACAAGTTTGTCTCTTTGTCTTAGAAGTGCTGATACCGACGGTACACAATCCTGCTGTCTCTCGAATACTAACAAGCAATGGCATGGACGAGGTATCTCATACGAGGGCCGCAACCCAGGCCATAGAATATCAGAATATGAGGATCTGGCCATGCTCTATAAATGTCGATCCGGCTGTTGGGCTTAGGGCATCACATGCCACCTCGAGTTCTATGGTGCAGTGCGTAACTCTTTCTCGTCTCATGTGAAGCCATTCTAGACTGCAGATGAGTTTTCGTCCAAGTATCACCATATATCATCAGGATTCACCATATGGTTATCGTATCTATCCGCTCGTCTTTGTCCTAAAGAATTAAGGATTAGCTTAATGACACCCAAAAAACCACCTTCTCACGGTAGCTTGTGTTGGCCATCTCAATTCCGTATCAAAAAGTTGCATCTGCCACCCATTCATGATCAGGCTTCAGCCCAAGATGTTATACACACAACGTTTGAACAACTAACAACAGTTCTCTGAACCAGATTGTCAATAAGAAAGAAAATACTTACTCGCTTCTTCAGCATCTCTTCTCCACTTTTTGAAATCATGCCAAAATTCCCACACCCTCCCAAACACCCTCCCCAATCTCGATCGAATTTTCGCCATGTTATTTCTCTTTTGGGATTTCTTCTCTCTCCGACTTTTTGCTGCTTGTCCGGCACATCTCATTGTTTCTAATCAATGCATCGATTAGCAAGTACCGCTTGCACAACATTGAAGTTTTTACATACCAGATATTTGCAATCCAAAAGTTGAACTTCTAATAGAAGACATGGATATAACCTCTCCGACTCATCAATTAGACAATTGACAAGCAAGCAAGGAAGCAACAAAAACAAGATATATAAGAAGTAATCAAGCTTTTTCTTCCACCACTCTAATCAACGCCACCAACTCGGTAAAAAATGACGGGGATAAGCACAGGAGAAGAAGGCGTCATGGAAGCTTAGCCAACAATCTGATAAGATTCGTACAACTGTTATATAAACAACATACACAGAGGCGTGGCTTCGGTACAATGTAACGGAAGAATCAAACAGTTAAATAAGCTTATTGTAACGGTTGGTGTAACATTGATAAAATAGATAACGCTGAATCCGAGTGTATCTACCCCGCTAGATCATAGACAATCGGAAATGAGGTAGATGAGGGAGGCTTTCTTCTCGCTCAAGTACGCCTCGATATTGCGTTAGAAGACCAGCATTGAAAGCAGCAGAGCGGACTAGAAAAAGCAAAAAAATCAGTCAAAACGAATGATGGAAATAACACCCATCTTTATAGCCCCCTCTATTTATTAACATTCCTTCGCAAAATCTCGGCGATTGCATTTCATTCCCCCTCTTTTAACCTTTCCAACACCGCCAACCCCCATGCCAACGCATAAAACCCATTCAAACGGTTCGAAAACCCATACAAAATTACTCGCGATCGCCTAACCTACTCCCAAAACACACAATAGGTGTGTAACGTCGTACGAATGAACCCCGCTCGTCCAACCATTTTACCCTGCCCCATTTAAACACCAGGCATTTCTGCATCCGCGCCGCATTATTGCAGAAGACTTGATTGAAAATTTGTTCTATCGCCGAGTCCATTTAGCCGGTTCACCAACCAACATGAGTGGTACCGAACTGTCGGGTCGATGGATCGGGCTGAGCCGCCCTTTGAGTACCGAAAGTCCGCGCTTGAGCTCATGAGCCCTGCTTTCCGTGATGATGGAATGAAATGGCATAATAATGTTTGAAACAAGATGGAATTCTCAAATAAGACTCTGATTTAAAGCACCAATAAGGAAAATGTACATCTCAACAGACATTGACACTTGAGGGGCCAAGTAGAGCAACCAAATGAGTACTCTCAATTTTTTATTTTGTCTGATAAGAATAAGACGATATCAACCCCGCTTTCCGTCGAGCGTGCTTGCTCTCGAAAATGAAACATGAGAAACTTTTATGAGATATATTATATTCGACGTATTATTACAGCATTCGCGTGTGCATTGTGTCAGGTTCATGCTAACAATCAATAATTAACCCCCACTTGTATGCATTATCATGTAACAAACAAAAAACTCCAGAAACGAGCGCGATAAGCAAATGCCGCGAGAACCGCGGAGACACCAGGAAGAGTTTTACAGTGTAAAGTCAAGCAATGCTGACTCTCAACGCCGCAGATATGCCTTGTTATAACCGCTACTCCGCAATCCCATCCTTCCGTCCATAATAGCCACTTCCAGTGTTTCCAGTCCTGCCCCTTTCCATTCCAGCCCACCATTTTCATCTCCCTATGTCATAAATTGAATGTCGAAAATCATCAAGATCATAATGTGCTTATAGCATAGTGCCAAAAGTGCCATCGGTTGGAATGGCCTTTCTTGGGCTAGACTTCCCATCATCGTCTGTGTTTGGCTTACGATGTCTGAATGTAAATCCGACGAACAAACTCTTGCTCATAGCATCTTCTCGATCGGCCATATTCTCCAAAGCCGTTTGCTTGTCATGGACTTCTTTGTATTTAGCCATATCAGCTTCGTTGCTGAAATCATCAAAGTAGCCTGCATCAGTTTCAGAGTCCAGCTCTGGTACGAATGGAGCACGTTGCGAACGAAGAGTATTCCAGTCAACCTCGGCAAAGTATTGATGTCCATAGACTTCTGAGATAGTGGAGAAACGCTTGACCTTAGATGTAATGCAGCTATTTCTGTTAGCAAATGCTTGTCTAGTATCAAGGATTATAATTACCTGGTGATGAAGTTCCAAGTACGATTACTAATAAAGTAATTTGGATCCTCCCAAACTGGTCTCTTCAACACTTCTCTCCAATGCTTCAAATTCTTCCAGGTTTCATCGACGGTAGCGCCAGCAAATGGAGGAAATCCTGTCAAAGCCTCAAAGTGCATACACCCCAAGCTCCAATAATCCACTGTGAAGTCATACTCATCGCCTTTCAACACTTCAGGGGCCATGTAATCAGGTGATCCAACAATCGACTTGGCATAATTAACGTCTTTGTTTCTCAAGGATCTGTAACCTTCTCGGCGTTCCGCAACAGTACGCTCTTCGATAGGCTTTCCAAATGGAACATATGTCTCTCCGACCTTTTCAAGCTTCACTCGCATGGACTCAATCTTGCCTGGAGCAAGGAATCCTGCAGCAAGTCCAAAATCCGTGAGTTTGACATGTCCCGTCGAATCAATCAAGAAATTTTCGGGTTTCAGATCTCTGTGAATGTAACCGAGCTGATGCAAAGCATCCACGCAACAAAACATTTCGGCAATGTAGAATCGAGCATGCCTATTGGCAAGAACACCAGTGTTGTTCAGTAAAGTTCGGAAATCTCCACCTGGGACATATTCCTAAAAATAGTTAGCTTTGTGCACACATATGAAAAGGAGCTAAGTCCTACCATAGCTAAATATATACTCTTCTCATCCTGGAATGAGTAGAGCAATCTAACCAGCCATTCGCTTTTGGCATTGGTCAAAATATCACGTTCTGTGAGAACATGTCTAATCTCGTCCAGCTTGAACAATAGTTTCTTGCTCATAACCTTCAAGGCACAGACTTCCCTAGTATCCTTCTTCTGAGCAAGGAAGACTTGTCCATAACCACCTTGTCCAACTTGTGTCAAAATTTGGAAATCGCCCTGGCGTAGACGAACTCGACGTTTGCGCAAATTGGCACGCTCTCTACCAGCATATTTTGACCAAACTGGAATATATTCTTCTTCGGGAGTTTCTGGGGGAGCGGGATATTCTGCCTTGAAATGATTGAGTCGATTTTGACGCGATCCGACGTAACTCAAGAGGTCATAATAGTAATCAAGGAAGTCTGCTTATAATTAGTAGTGCTGCTATAGAACGACAACTAAATACTCACAAGCTGAGTCACATTGGCCAGGCGTTTCACATTTGGCTTGTGCAAAATCTCCAATTCCTCTGCAGTCAATCCACGTTGCGTGTTGTATTTTCTAGTCGGTGGTGGTGGAATTTCTCGAGTTTGATAGAGCTCCTGACGTGAAATCGCTGCTTGGTTTAGGGAAGGAGAATCGCGAGCGATCGCTGCTGGATTGAGCGATGGAGAATCTGTCTGTCTTGCGGTTTGAGGGGTATTGTTCTCTTTACCTTGTCGTCGTACAGGGCTTCCTGAGGGGATTGATGATTTTTGGATGATACTCTCATCAGTATCACCGGTCGAATTGCCAAAGAACTCATCGACTGCGTTGGCATTCGCTCCCTTTCCAGGAGTTAATGGGTTGCCAATCGGAACGCGACCAGTCTTTGTTGGACTGCTCAAATTGGCAGGAGTAAGCTTCATAGCAGAATCGAAAGCTGTAGGCAATTCGTTGGCTCCAGGTGGATTGCGGTTCTTGCTTGGACTTCCTTGGGGTGTTGAGACTGGATTTATGAAGTTGCTTCTATTGACAGGAGTGCTGGGCCGATCACCAAAACTTTCATTTTGACTAGAGCGAGTATGCAAAGGTGGTGGGGGAACTGGCAAGATATTATCATGTTTCCCAGCTTGTGCGGAGGGGAAAAGATTGGTTATGAAGCTGGACATTGTTCGACTTCTACTCGCGGATTGGTTGTTAAGACGAATAACTCTGCAGAATGACAACGCACTTCAGACTAATGAAGGAACGGAGCAATCACAAAACGTAAAGCTCGCAGAAGGTTGTATTAAAAAGAACAAGTGCGAGTGCAGAGTGGCGGGGCTCGAAACGATTGAATATGAAGCGTTGAATGTGAACGTCCTGGCTCCACGATTGCATAGAATTCCCCAAAATAAAGTGCTCTAAAGTACCTGTTCTTGCATAAGGTAGGTGGGGTCTTGGCAATTGATGTTTATTTGTGGGAAAGAGCGCTTGAGATGGGTTTGGAATGGTTGCGCAGAGCAACCAGTAGGCAGGAAGGTATTAATCCAAGACAAACAAACGATGACGTAAGCGATGGGTCAAAGAGATCACGTTTTTATTGTATGCATTTTAAAAGTCGACATTTGGAAACATGGATAATTACTCGGTAGGCAATTGAGATAGATAGATGAGGATTTATGATTTTACAATCAATTTGTTATAACTACCTACCTACTTCACAGCCTGATTCTTCTTTGCTTGATATCCAACATTTTAAAGCGTAGTCTCTCACATAGATACATACCTAAGAAGGTAGATTGGCATTCAAACATTCAAACATTCAGATACATACTAATGGCAATCTAAATTCCTATCCCTCCCTTCCCTTCCCCGCCACAAGATAAGATCGCCATCTTTCTAAACCTTAAATTGTTACTAGCCAGTCTAATTCTCACAAAAAGTATAGCACCGGCAACTTCAAAACACAATACAAGCCTCGCATTTCGATCGATATCCATATTGCCCACCATGTTCTACAATCTCAATCCTTTTTCATCTCCCTCCACCACTAGCGAAATCACCGACCTTCTCATTTATCCTATCAAGTCTTGTCGAGGTATCTCAATTAAATCGTCCCGCCTTACCACTCATGGCCTCGACCTTGACAGACGCTGGATGTTCGTTTCCGGCGATGACCATAAGTTCATTACAATCCGCGACATCTCCTCTATGACCTTGATTGATACCGCTTTTGCCACAGCCAAATCTCCCTCTGAATCTGGCAGTGAAGATGCTGAATATCTGGTCATCAGTATTAGGAATACAGATAAGAAGGTCATGGTCCCCGCGCGACCTACAGAACAATGGTTGAAAGATAACACAAGCTTGACACAAGTGGACATTTGGGATTACAAAACAGATGGATATGTATACAAGGATGAGATAAACAGCATATTCAACGATTTCTTTGAAAAAGATGTCAAGCTGGTATACAAGGGACCAACGCCCAGAATCCTGCGGGGTAACGGAGCACCAGAAATCTTGGGAAGAGAGGAAAGCACAAACTTCCCAGATGTGATGCCAGTTTTGATTGCAAATGAAGCTTCCCTTCAAGAGTTAAATCAAAGACTGGCGAAGAAAGGAGCGGATGAGATCACAATTGAAAGATTTCGTCCGAACATCATTGTGAGGGGTAAAGACGAGAAAAACATCGATGACACCGCACCCGCCGCATGGACAGAAGATAATTGGAAGCGAGTGAAAATAATCAACAAGCCAGAATCGGGACTTTTATCCACTGCAATGGGTTCAAATGGGTTAGATATTGATATCCAGGCTCGTTGTGCAAGATGCCAAGTTCCAAATGTGAACCCAGAAACTGCGGAAAAGAATAAACACGAGCCATGGGATACATTGGTGAGCTATAGACGTGTAGATGAAGGTATTAAATGGAAGCCATGCTTTGGAATGTTGGGTGTACCTAGGTCAGATGGGCCGATTACTGTGGGAATGAAATTCAAGGTTCTGGAAACCACAGAGGATCACAAATATCTGAAGGGATTCTAGTGCTTTTCTTTTTCGGTCTGGGAAATCAAAGATATCACGTTCGATAATCGTCGTCATGCCTAGAATGTGAACATGCTCATAGTAAACATTCCCAAGTATCCATCAAACAGCCATGCTATTATCCCTCCCACAATATAGCGTCATGAGTTCCGAGAACTTTGATCACCCGCAGAGAACAAACGGACCTTGCAATGCTTTAAAGCTCTGAATATACCGCTTTTTCACGTCTAACTTTTCAGGAGATGTTTTTCCAATCTTTACCCTCGCATTCTCTACCACCATGTCTCTCAGAATTACACATTCGATGCATCCCATTTGTTACCCTGCACCTGCGAAAACAACTCGATACATTTCCTCTCACACTGCTTATCCCCAGTCAACTCTATCTCCCCCACCGGCACATCCTCAATCTCCTCTTTCCCCAACAGCCTCGCTTCTACAATATCTACTATTTATAAGCACAGCCTAAGCTTTCTCAGAACTAATGAGTGGGAGATCCATTCTACTTGTTCATCACAACCTAGAGCTTGGAAACTAGTTGAATGTGCCCACAGCATACAAACCTCCATACCCAATCCACAATTCCTCAAGAGCCTAGAAGTAACTAAACCAGTCACAATACTTTCCGTGATTTTCCTTCTAAATCTCAACATTTTCATTCTCGACGTCAATATTCTAATATCCTCTAGTATCGGGACAATAACCTTATTTTCCCAACTTTCCAAAGGTCTAACGAGCATTACTCCCCCTCTTCCCCCTCAGCTGTACCCCCGAAACCCCTAATTAGAAAACTCACAGAATTCCAGTACTTACAATACCCTCTTCTTCCAATATTCCACCCTCCCGATAATTTTCCAACATTATAACTACTCATCAAACAAATCCTACGCGCTCCCCCTTCAAATCGCATTGTTATCAACATGAGGAGATCACATCCATAGCCCAAGTAGAAGATTGTATGGTGTAGAGGAAAAAATCGGTAGTTGGGTTGATGGGTCTGTGGCTTCGATGCATAGGAAAAATTATCTAAGGAGTGAGAAGCTAAGGTGAAGTTTTGGAGGGAGAGGGGTTTTCGGACAAGGGCGGTTGGTGAATATCTTTGGTCATCAGCAATCCATGAGAAACGTGTTGGATGCAAAAGGTAAGAATAGCTTCATTGTAGTGAAAGAAACGAGGACAACAAAAGTAGTCAAAGATAGTTTAACTTACTCATGAATACCAATCACCAAAAAATACACGCTTCTCTTTCCAGAGAGTACTTTTCTTCTCAAGCACAAAGATCTGGAACAATGAGCTGATATTGTCAATCACTTTTTTCTTCTCTTTCTTTTTCATGAAAAGAAGTGCACCTTAAGTTACCGGAATAAATACTGGAAATATTCTTCATTTTGATTATATCGCTTAGAGATCGCTCTCAAATTGTCTAACCATCAAGCCCTTCTCGGCAAGAGAATCTTTGACTTGCTTAACCGTGTATTCTCCTCTATGGAAAATACCGGCTCCAAGGGCAGCATCTGTGGAAGTCTTCGAGAAAACTTCTTCAAAATGACCAGGGTTTCCAGCTCCACTGGAAGCAATGACTGGTATGCTCACCGCACTCTTTACTTGGTCAATGAGTTCTAAATCAAAACCGCTATTTGTTCCGTCTTTGTCTATGCAATTCAAGAGAATCTCGCCTGTTCCCATTGCCTCAACAGCAGTCACAAGCTCAACGACATCCATATCTCGTGTCTCTCGGCCTCCTTTAATCGTGCATGCATACCAACAATATTCTTCACCATTTGGTCCTGGGTGTCTTGTTCGAATAGTGTTATGTTTCGTATCTTCGGGTTTCGATACGTAAACTCTCTTTGGATCCACACTCACAACCACTGCTTGGTTGCCATAAGCACCAGATATTTGCTCTATGGCTGTTGTTCCAGACAATTTCTTTCCTCTTGAGTAATACTCTTCTGCTGCCGTCACAGCGTCAGATCCAATGGATACTTTGTCTGCTCCACTCTGAAAATACATTGTTGCGATTTGCAGTGCTGAAATCTTTGTACCATCGGTGTCAATGGTGTCCCTAATGCCTCCTCCAATTGTTAATGGAACAAATACACTTTTTGACGTCTGTCGTAATATTTCGAGCATCGGTACATCTGCTACCGGGCAATCTCTGAAACTTGTGATATTGAGAAATGTAACTTCGTCGGCTCCTTGTTCGTAGTATTTTTTGGCCATCTCAACTGGCTTTCCTAGGTTTCGTACATTTCCACCATCAGTTTTTTCTCGCACATCGTATTGATCACCCTTCGTCACCACCAAATCTCCTTGGTCATTTGTTCGCACATCCAAACATGCGATAACTCTTCTAGTCAAGCCCTCTTTGGCAGCGACCAAGCCTTCAACTGCGCTACTACTGTTGTCTCCGTCTAAGAAAGCTTTAATCACCCTCAATCCAGCAACTCCACTCTTTTCTGGGTGAAATTGTGTCGCCAATATGTTTCCCTTTGCAATCGCTCCAACAAACTCTTCATCCCCATAGCGTGCGGTTGCGACGGTCCAACCTTGGCTTTCCAACTCTCCTTGCTTATATGGAACCTTGTACGAATGAACGTAATAATACTTCGAGCTTGGTCTCAATCCAAAGACTTCCTTGCCTGATGTGTTCGCGCTGTTCCATCCAATGTGTGGTACTGATTTCGAGCTATCGTCGAATCGATCGAGAGTCGCCTTGACATACCCAAGCCCAGGAACTGCTGGATTTTCCGCAGAGCCCTCAAATAATGCCTGTAATCCAACACAGATACCCATGAAAGGTTTCCCTGAATCAATGTGTTTTTGTATCGCTGGAAGGTATCCGGCTTTGGAGAATTGTGTCATGCAGTGACCGAAATGACCAACTCCAGGCAGAATGAGTTTCTGAATTGCAATTTATTAGAAATAGTAGGCAAAACGAAAGAAAAAGCTTAGATTCGTAAGAATGAACTCAAAAAACGAGATAACCTACATCTGCCTTTGGCACATCTTCTGGAGACCTGATCCATTCAATAGTATAGCCTACCTTCTCGATGGCATTGACTAAGCTACGCACATTACCAGCAACGTAATCAAGAAGATAGACTTTTGACATGATGATATATGAGTTTATGAAGTG